TCACAACATTAAATAGGCAATGATGACTTTTGTAGGCATGTTTCGAGACAACGCAACTTTGGGAATGTGTACCATTCACGTGTAAATCTAGACCGCTGAGTGCAATGTCTTTAATGAGGTAGATGTTTTAGATTAAGGATCGAACGAATATCATAGATGTATCAAACCATGGTCAATATTGATTGGCTTGACCATATAAGGCAAACTCTTGTTCATTTGAAATTTTACTTTTGCAAATCTCATTTGAAGCCTTAAGAATATTTAGAGCTTTTTTGACAACCATTCAAACTACGATGACCACCATTTACTTCTGTCTTCTTCGATGCTATATGTGACCTCCAACCAAATCTTCATTCTTTCTAATTTTTCTTTATAAAAAATGCTTCACAATGAGTTTTTCTTCCCATTCTAGTAACGGTGATGGGGAATAGACATTAGCGGTTTAGCTCGGGGTACAAGTCAACACTTTTAGACTATGAATGAGGGCCCCATTGATTATGGGATAAGTTTGGAGGCTTCTAAAATACTCTCCTCATAAGCTCTACACACCTTATTGATATTAGAGAGAGATAATGCATCCCTGATACCATATAATTATTATTACCCACTCTTGAGAAGAGGTCCTGTTATCTAAGATAGGAGTATGTGGCAGTGTGTAAATGGGTCCTGAAGAGGGATGCACTTGCCTCTTCATCTATTTTAGGGCAATTCTAAGCTCTATAAGCTAGCTCCTACCCAACTTTTTCCAAACACCTAAGCCCAAATGGTTAGAGACTATATACTCTTGAAAGAGTTACCTTTAGGCGAGGACATGCCCCTCCATATCTTTCAAAACCTATTTTAGCCTAAGATTTTATGCAAAGGAACTCCACATGATGGTACTACATGACCCTCTAGGGTTTTTATTCTCCATTTGTGGTGGCCTTCCTTCATTCATCAAGAAGTATAAGGAGTTTTGGTTTGGGCAAAGGAGAAGTGGTAGAACTGTAAAAAAGATAAGGTTCTCTAGATCATTGTGACGGCCTAGTACTTCGAAGCACATAAGTGATTAAACTTTAGGCTTTCGTTTTATGCTTCGAGCTATTGTCCAACCCACTTCATTTTTTTGTAAATTCAATAGAGTGCCTCAAATGCCATAAGAGTGGGAGATTGTTGACAATATCTACTGACACCATCAATCTATATATGAGTATTCTCTTCTAGTCGAAAATCATCGCTTCAATTTGGAATTTAATTTGATGGCTTCAAAAGGTAACTTTCAAAACTCTATTGTGCTTGTTTAAGTTTTGTACATGTTGAATATATGCTGCTGACTTGTGATTTCCTTTCACAAAGAACTTTAAGAAGAATGTGTACCCACTCCCGATATGGTCTCTATTCTTTTCTCCACTGCCACTATGGGAAAATAAGATTCAAACCAATCGTTAGGAAGCAGATCC